GTCATAATATTTGGTATAGTAGTTGTGACTTATTCACACTATATACATTTGGCTTCCGCAACAGCAACTAAGTATTAAGGCTCGGAGGAACTGCAGCAACAACGGCGTGGCTCAAGTTGTGGCGGCTTCGTGGTCTAACAACCACGCCGTTCCTGACTTCACTCCGGCGGCTAATGCCGTCGATTCCTCCGCCTTTGCTCCGCTGGTGGAAAATGCGGCTTGTAATGATGAAAATGTACAAATTGAGGGTTTGACAGGTGTTAATAAATACGCTTCGTTTTTGAATTCCGATGGAAGCGTCGCTATTCATGCCGGTATAGTTTTATGGCCCTCTCACTTTGCCGTCTAGTTTGTTCTCGGTTTCCCCTGTCGTTATGCCTTGGTTCGTGGATTATATTCTGAAAACTCTGATTACTATTACTGTCCGTTCCAGTTTATGCGACAACATTTCCTTTTCTGTTTGTTCCAAAAAGAACAGCAAGTTTCTAAACTTGGAAAGCTAACTGTTATCACACCTTTTAAGACCACAAATTTCAAAATTCATTTTTGTAAACTCCGTGCTTTCAACTTTTCCACATAATGTGGAATGCCGGGAGCATAAAATAGGACGGTCCATCATCCATGCAATGGCGTGTAATGAATATATTTTATCTTATAAGGGTCTCAAAAGATATAGAGAGGAAGGGATATAGAGAATTTTATAAAGCATCTGGGATTGAGGTGTAGTTGATTGATTAATTGAATGGTTTAAACCCATAGTTTACTTGACAATCTTGGAAGAGATGCATGAAATGAAATTTGTCTCAGGCCTTGTCAGTTTCCGTTGATGTTTAGACTGAAGATGACGAGTCACAGTGAAGGCTCTCAAATTGAGGATAAAAGTATGTAGCACTTCAAATTAAAATTGGATAGATTTTTTTGGATATAAGGGCTTGAAAATAGTTCAACTTTATCTATCAGTTTGTTGAATTAGCTCATAATGCTCAGTAGAATTGAGGTTCTACCAATTCAAAAAAAGAAAAAGAATTAAAGGTTCGACTTTGCACTCTGAGCCAAATTTCAAGGTATTGTGAGTGTTACTGTGTTAAAATAAAAAATCAGAAAAACTGTTAAAAGAATAAAGAAATGTATAAAATAGTAAAGAATCAGAAATATTCCGAGTCCACAATTTTCTTGTGCGTCCTTAAGGAATTTTAACCCCCTCACACGTTGTCAAGGTAATGGATTAAATCCTCCCAGGATAAAACGGAATAAACCTTCCTGCAACAGTGGCAATACAAACTGCAGGATACCAACGAACTCAAAGAACGGAGCAAAATCACACTTACGAATTTGAGAGAGAGAGACTGCGAATTAGGAAGCAGTATATTCAGAAAGAAAGAAGTTCTGGAGTGTTTTTCATATCTAGAAAATGCAGTCTTGCCTCAGAATTTATAGGCAAATATCAGAAGAGGTGTCTGGAAAGGTGCCTTTTCAGAAAATACGCGGCCTGCCGCGGTCTCTGAACTTTCAGCAGTGATTTGGTCCGAAGCCAAAGCCGAAGCCGAGCGAGCGACGACGACGGCGCGAGGGTTCATTCTCTTCAACTCCTTTTAAGAGCTTTAAGAAGTGAATCTATCTACAAGCACACAAATGTGATTGTCCCTCACCAATGAGGGACAAAGTGCAAGACAAAAGTTCACTTCTTCAAATTTTCATTTTCCCTCCATTTTATTTTCCTCCATTTCCAATTCACACTTCTTCTACTTTAAAGCCCAATGGCTTAAGGTCCAACAGGTATTGCAGTTAAAATGTCATATCTGCTGAAAAATATTGGTGTCTTGGCTTAAGGATGAATCTCTTTACATTTGCTACATGCGAATTCTTGCTGTATGTGTTTATGTGGGAACGAAGAGAAGGAGGAAATGAGGGTTTTCTGTGTATTCCCTCCGAACTTTTTCTTTTACCCTAACTCTTTATTGGAAGCCAAACCCAATAAAAAATGGTGGGTTGGAGTGGAAAATGAAAGAAGTGGTTCTTTCATTTTCCATTCCAACCACCATTTCTGACTTGGATTTTGATTTCAACACTGTTAATTCTGTCCTTTTCCTCTTCTAGCAAACCACAACAAAATGATAGAAAGAAAAAGGAATCTTGTTCCCTGAATATTGTTGCCCAAATGCATTGGGGTTGTTGGGTTGCCTCCTGTGACAAAAAAAAGTTTCTTTTGTCGAATAACATATACGTATTTTTATGTATATTCTCTTGTTTGAATGAAGAATATTTCAAGAATTACCTTTGTATAGTGCAACTGGCAACAATAAGGTTTTGAGAGGATGGGAGTAATTCTGTGCTTTCATTTCAGCTGTGTGAATGGAGATAAAAACATACTTTGTTTGTTCTTGTTCTTCTTCAGGTGAAAGGTTGGGACGCGGTATTGTTACTGATGCCATAACTACCCCAGTGGTTAACACGTCTGCTTACTTCTTCAACAAAACTTCTGACCTTATTGATTTCAAGGTATTTTTTTCCATCGATTTCAAGGTATTTACTGTTGTTGTATTTGATTCATGAGTTGAGTTAAAAATATATTCTCTCTCTAGTTCCAATGAAGAGTTCCTGGCTTGAAAGGGGAAGTCATAGCACAGCCCTAGCCACTTGCTGTCACCTTTTGTTAAATATACCATCATATTGGTAAAAGAGAATATTAAGCACATTTTTTCAGCAAGCTGAATTTGTCTTTATGATTAATTTCACTTTATGATAACTTGGCAGGAAAAAAGACGTGCAAGTTTTGAATATGGGCGCTATGGTAACCCCACTACTGTTGTTCTAGAGGAGAAAATAAGGTTAGCTTTATCTTTGATTAACTAGTTTTTCATTTTTTATCTGTTCTTTTTACTTTCTCTAGTTGTCTTATGGGATCGTTACTAAGTGGCGATGTATTCTAGTAAATGAGGTATTTGTATCTCTAACAGTGCACTTGAGGGCGCTGAATCAACCTTGGTAATGGCATCTGGAATGTGTGCCAGTACTGTAATGCTGTTGGCCTTGGTTCCTGCTGGTGGCCATATTGTAACAACCACAGATTGTTACAGGAAGACCCGTATTTTTATTGAGACGATACTGCCTAAAATGGGAATTACGGTACTTCCGCTAATCCAAATGCTTAAGATACCTGTCATTCTAGTTTTAAGTGTAGAGATATTACAAGATTTCTTGACAAGAGAAAAAATTGTTATTCAGAATTGAGGAGTTGTCTTTATTTTGGTAATGAAAATGAATGACATAAATTCATTCTAGACAACACTCTAAAAGCTGCTGGCGAATAATATAATCGAACCATAACATTTCTCTTCCCTTAATTAATCTAAGGGGGAAATGCTGAAGTGTTCCATTCCTGCAGGCCACAGTCATTGATCCAGCGGATATTGGAGCTTTGGAGTTAGCTCTAAATCAGAAGAAAGTCAGTATGCAGACACACTGTTGCTTATCACTCAACATTTCTGAACTTAAATAGATAGAGAAGTGAAGATGGTTCCCATTGTCCGGTACCTTGTTCAATGCAGGTGAATCTTTTCTTTACCGAGTCTCCAACAAATCCATTCCTGAGATGTGTTGACATTGAGCTGGTTTCAAAGCTTTGTCATGAAAAAGGAGCCTTGGTTTGTATGGATGGGACGTTTGTGACTCCTCTCAACCAAAAGGCCCTTGCTCTAGGTGCTGACCTTGTTCTGCATTCTGCTACAAAATTCCTTGGCGGGCACAATGACGTAAGTGGCATCAGCTGGAGTTTGGACAATTAAACAACTATACCGCCATTAGCAATATCAAACTGACTGCTTTGCTGTGTACTTCATACAGGTTCTTGCAGGTTGCATTAGTGGTCCTTTAGAATTAGTTTCAGTAGTTCGAAACTTGCATCACATCCTGGGTGGTGCTATCAATCCAGTGAGTTTCCTTACTGATGTCTTGCTTGACTTAATTCCGTGGCTTACTATGCTGTATATGTGTAAGTTAAATTTGGTGAAGGAAAAATTGCTCTTAAAGTGGACTTTAGTACTAGTACGGTATTTGGGTTGTTTAAAAATGTATGAAGTGTATTCCCGTAAAATAAATAAATAAAATGTATGAAGTCTAGGTATTAAGGCCTAGTCATGTTGATCAACTTACTTTAGGTCCAATATTCACTAGGCGCCTTTTACTCTTGTTAGAGGTTTCTGTGCCAGTAGAAAATGTATGAGAATTTTCAGCTTTAGAGAACCAAGAACCTATATTTTTCTATATTGGATCGAGACGGGTCTAAATGGAGTGACATGGATAGAGAGTATTCATAAAGCTGGGTCAACTAGCTTGGGATTGCGGCATAGTTGTTGATGTTGTATGAAGTGTAGTTGGCATTTTAAGCTTGTATTGTATTGTATTGTATTGTATTGTATTGCAGTTTGATTCAATTTTCCCATCTACCAGAATGCTGCATATCTTATCATCCGAGGCATGAAGACGCTGCATCTTCGTGTACAGCAACAAAACTCAAATGCATTGAGCATGGCCGAGATTTTAGAGGCTCATCCCAAGGTATTCTAGGCTTCAGTAACTCCATCAGTCATGATTTGAAATTCAAACTTGGAACAGAGCACAATCACCTAATGGATACGCATGAGATTTCATATGCATGAGAAAAGTAAGAATGTTCCACTTGATATTGATTAAAGCAAATGCCAATCTTAGGAGCCTAACATCGGTCGGTATCAGGATCTATGTTCTCTTACCTCTGTAAAATTCTACATCATACCTGCTTGACTTAAGCTGTAGAGCTTCTATTTTCTTATACTCCTGTATAATCCACCTTAAGTCATGTAGCTACTTCGTCCTAATGCATGATTGCCTGATTAATGAACATAAAAGTTGCTGTCATCCCGCACTTTTCTTTTCTTTGTGCAGCTCAGTTGGAGTTAAGAGGTCTTGTTTTTCCTGCTCTTCATTAGGATCTGTGCCGCTCTTGGAAGTGCTGTTATATCTGAAAGAAATGAATTGCAGGTGAAACATGTCTTTTCCAGGGTTGCCGAGTCATCCAGAATATCATATTGCAAAGAAGCAAATGACTGGCTTTGGTGGTGTGGTCAGTTTTGAGGTTTGTATTTTATGATGAATCTATGATCCTTGGTCAACCAAGTATTCCTTTCATTTCCTTTTTTACGTGCAGTAAATCAAAAGGCTACATTTTTTGTTAGGTTAACTACTGCAAAATTTGTGGATGCTCTGAGAATTCCCTATATTGCTCCATCATTTGGAGGTTGTGAAAGCATTGTGGACCAACCAGCAATAATGTCTTACTGGTATGTCAATATTCTATTCCATGGTTAGTTATCCAAAATATATATTATTCTATTCTAAGGCTGGTGGTGTTGTGTCTCTGTTCCCCCTTTACCTTTCTCCGAGCATGTTTGGCGAAACTTTGGAAACTCAAAGAAGTTTGATATCAAGGATTAATATCTTGAGAGGTGCAACAATAAAAATAAAATAAAATCATTGATACAAGAGAAGTCAAGGTAAATTAAAAATGAGAATATTTTGTAAATAATATTGTTGTACATTCCGAAAACAGGGATCTTTCCCAGTCAGATAGAGCTAAGTATGGGATCATGGACAACTTGGTTCGGTTCAGCTGATGTTCTTCAGGCTTTGGATTCCATATAGGCTATTTCACCTGCAACGATTTTCCTTTTCTTTTTATTGATTTGAACTTCTATTATTGTTGACTTTCTCACTTGACCAATGGTTGGAATGTAATGAAAGGATCGTCAAGTAGATGATCCAACCCATTAGATTATCTGGATAGGTTAAGGAAAAATTTACTTGGTGAATGTGTCGGTATTTTTCGTAACAACCTCCTTTGTCCGTACATTTTGATGCCTTTCATAGCGATTGGCTACTACTCCCTTTGTCTTAATTTGCATGATTTAAGTCAGATTCAAATATAATAACATATTATCATATTTAATAATCATTTAACTTTAAACTTTTTATTTTACCTTAATGAAATGATTTATACCGAGAGAATCTTTAAAGCTCTATTTGGATCACAAGTTTTAAAAATCTTTCTTTCATCCTTAAATTTTAGGCCTAGTCAAAAATTATGACATCAATTGGGATGAAGGGAGTATACAACTTAACAACATTTGACTTTTAGATTTTATTTGATTGTTTTACACAAAAATACCCAGGAACTCCTTTGTTCAATTTGTTTATATACAAAAGATAATAAAAATATTTAATTTTATAATCTCAAATGATATCCATATTATACTAATTACACTTTTAGATGCTAGTACAATATTAATGAGGTGAAGTGTGTGGAAAAATGGCAGAACACAAAAAGTCTCAAACTTTATCTCTCAATTTCTCATTCCAAGAATGAATTTTTGATGTTCCATATTCCTGGTTGAAACTTACAGATTTAGTTAAAGTTATGTCTCAAATAAATATTTTTTGGTTATAATAAACTAATAAATAATATAGATATTTGAGTAAGGTTATTATAGAGATAATTTTGCAAAATTTATACCATTATAATGACAAAATATTGTTGTTATAAGTGAAAGATAATTATAAAAAGGTAAAATATAATATAAAACGTCGATTTCAAAAAAGAAAAGTTTCTTTAATAGTGAAAATAATATTATATAATTATAGAAAGGTCTGAATATATTATAATATTATGAAAATGGAATAGTGAGAAATAAACGAGCATTAATTGTACGGGAGACTCACAGTTAGCACTAGACCAAAAGTTTTGATGTATAATAATGTTTATTCTTTTAAGGAAAAAATCTTTTTGAGTAAATTATATTCTTAAAATCCTTCTTAATGAAAGAATTTGCACTTATTCTATTATCTGATTCATAATTTTTGGGATAATTTAATAAATTTGTCTTCATGTTTGGCTTCATAACACTAACCAGCTCCTTTGTCTTTGCAATATTATGCTTGCCTTCTGTATTTTGATTTATTTGTAATAGTTGTTTAAAACTATTTATAATTAATACAAATAGTATGCTTGCCTTTGCAATGACAATTGAGATTTTGAATAATGGTATCTTGAACTATTTTATGATTTGACATTTAGTTCTCTTGAAATGGTTGTACCTTCATTAAATACTTGACGGTGATTTTGATAAACTCTTATCTAGAGTTTATTCCTTGTATTTCTTACATAGTTTACATTTCTTTTATTATAAAATATTAGGTAAGTTTATGTCACTAAGCTTTACGCTTAACGATAGTTTGTCACTATTGTAGGTGATGTACCGGGAGAGACTTGAGGGTGGCCATTTGAAGTAGACTCTTTGGTTGCATAAATGAAGATCACACTTGCATAAGCGTATGTATTCTTTTTGTAGACTTTTGGGACTTGTATATGATCCATATAATACACTTAGATATGCACTTTTGAATGATTATTCATGACAATATTATTTTGGTAACTTAGTTTTAGTGAATGATTTGACTATTTTGGGGATATTCTGCCCAAGTCTTGTAATATATTAAATTTGGTATTTGAATTGAACTTGAGAACAATGATTGGAGACTTAATAGTTATATCTGAGTCTTGGAGTTGAGTTTTCTGCTGAGTCCTTAAAGGTATTGTATGAAAAATATCCATCTTTTAACTTCTAAGTATTTGATAAATTCTAAAGTATTGATTTAATCTAAATAAGTGTTGCCATTTTCTTTTTCTTTTTTTATAGTTGTATTTTGCACTTTTTAAGGAGATTTTTAAGAAAATTTTCTAAGTTGAGATGTCGTATGTTGAATTTTATTTATGGGCCTATTTTTAACCAATAGATTATAATAACAATTTGCTAAACTAGTTTCACAAGTCTTGAATACTTGAATTCTTTGCCCAAATCTCATGGAAGTATTGAAATTAGTTCTTCTTTTTTTTCCTTTTTTTTTTTTGTTAGTTTATTTTACAAAAGTAAATGTTTAACTTTATAAGTATTACATTGATATTTATAAGTGACATCCTACTAGGGGGTTGCTACAGGAACCATCCAAACCCCGATCCGGGATTAATTACGCAAAAAGTCAAATTTGGTTAATTCTCCCTACTTAAAGCTTCTAAATGAGAATCATTCTTCCAAATCAATTCCGAGTCGTCCGAAATTGACCATACATGCAAGTCATAATACATCATACAAAGCTACTCTAGATCTCAAACTACCGAACGGAATGCTAAATCTCAAAACGACCTGTTGGATCATTCCAGAGGTTATTTAACCTATAAGCATTCCAGTCATTTCGAGCTCTTTATCGATCATTATATGAACATACCGAGTTAAGTATTTTGGTGATGCCTAAACTTGTCCACATATGCGCCAAGAATGATCGACAGAAGCCAGCAGTAAATCTGTCAATGAAGTTTGAGTGGCAATCTAGAGCAACTGCCAAAGAGAATGGGCTAAAGTTTGCCAAGAAAGGCCAGAAAAGAGAAAAAAAAAAGCCCGATGCACTAAGCTCCCGCTGTGCGTGATGTTCTAGAAAGTACAGGACTGCAAGGGTCTATATTACGCCGCCAGATAAAAGTAAGCATTTTTATTATTGTACCCTCTTACTTGAGAGTGCATTCTCAGTTAGCCTAAGTGGCAATCCTTTTAGAGTTTAGAATGTGTCTTCTTCAGCTGCGTCTTCTTCGGAAGATGAAGTAGTTAACTCACTTATATATATAATTACATGTTAATTGTAGTAATTAATATTTTACAAATTTAAAATTTTCAAAAAATAATGAAGTTTAAGAAAAGTATCACAATGGGACTTTTAAAAATTTATTTTGCCTTTACCTTTCTGTTAAATCAGTTATCATCTCGTTAAACCTTATAATATTCAGAAGTGTACCATCATACACTTTATGTCAACTGTTTTTCAATAAAGTGGACGAAACAGATGTAATGACCCGACTGGTCGTTTTGCTTTCTAGAACTCTGTTTTCCCTGTCTGAGTTTTTACTGTTTTATTACTTGCGAGGATGTTTGGTTTGGGTTTGGAAGGGTTCCGATCGAAATCGAAACACTTGGTTCCTTAATAATGGCCTAACATGACCAAGTTTGACTTGAGTCAACATTTTAAGTAAAAGACCTCGGAAACCGAGATTTGATGGTTCCAATAGGTTCATATGATGATTTTGGACTAAGACGTGTGTTCGGATCGAGTTTTGGGTGATCCGGGAGCGTTTTGGCGCTTAATGTTGAAAGTTGGCACATTGAAGGTTTTCAAGTTCTTTAAATTTAGTTTGAGGTAGACTTCAGTGTTATCAAGGTCCGTTTGGTATCAAGGTATACTTGAAACACAAAATTTGGGGTGTGATTCTTAGTTTCGATATTATTTTATGTGTTCTGAGGTTCAAGCAGGTCCGTATTATATTTATGGACTTGTTTGTGCATTTGGACGGGGTCCCGGGCGGCTCGGTTGTATTTCGGACCACCCAGAGCTAAGTAAAAAATTTGCAGAAAATGCTGTTTTGATTTCCTTCTTCGCGAACGCAGAAAGACCATCGCATTCGCGATGAAGAATTTAGGGACTAGGTGATTTTGTTCTTCGCGTTCGCGAAGTAAGGGTCACGTTCGTGAAGGCTTGGGACCAGTGACCTTCGCGTTCGCAATTGCCTCACTGAGTTCGCGTAGAAGGTCTGGGCCTGGGCAAGTCAGATGCCCTTCGCGAATGCGAAGGGAGGCCCGCGTTCATGATGAGAGGGCGGCTCAGTGCATCGCGTTCGCGTAAGTCTTCTCGCAGTCGCGAAGAAGACTTTCAAGGGCCTGAGTAGTTTTGCCTTTGCAATCGTTAGGGCATTTTTGCGATCACGAAGGACGAAAATCTAAGCAGTGATTGTTTTAAATCGGGACTTAGGTTCATTCTCTCATTTCACTTTGGGTTAGCCGATTTTGGAGCTCTTGAAGCGGGATTTTTCACCTATCATTGTCAGATAAGTAATTACAACTTAGTGTGAGTTTAATACACAAATTTTGGGTAGATTTTAACATGTAAATTGTGAAAACTATAGGATTTTGTTAAATAAGCTAGATTTTGATAAAAATGGGATAGACCACGAAAATGACGATGGAATTTAGTAGAAATTATATATTTGTGTTCGTGAGATTATGGGTAATATTTATTTACGAAAATTTCCAAAACCCGAGTATGTGGGCCGGAGGGCGAATTTTAGCTATCTTCCAATTTGGGTTGGTAATTACTCTAATAGTTAAATTATAAACTATTGAGCATATATTGATTAATTTGTACAATATTTGACTAGTTTTGGATTGTGTGGCACCGATTTTAGGCTTTTAGTGAGAATTGTGGACCGGGAAGAGGGCTTAGAAATGAGGTAAGTCTCTTGCCCAACTTTATAGGAGAAAATTATCCCTGTAAGTATTGTAAATGGTTATTTGCTAATAAATGTGGGTTCTACATGCGCACGATGTGACAAGAGTCTGTACGTAGCTAACATTATGCTTATGTCCCGGGAGTTTTAGGACTCTACCATGTATTATTTGCACCCAACTTGTTAGTTTAATTACATAAATATATAATTGAAATTGGATAAAAGACTTGTAAAGACTGAGCTTTATTATTTTAAATTTTGTCGGGATACTTGATAGTAAACAGAATTTATGTCTTCTTTGAGTATTATCCTTATGTAGTAGTCATTAATCGAAGTTTGTAGAGTATTCTCTATTGACGTGGATCGGGCCGAACGCCTGGGCAGTATAATAGATGTATTTATGGTTCGCGCCAATCGATCCTCGACAGTGTA